TTTTTGGCAACATGTTCTAAATAAATTTATGTCAACACAAAATTTTTTTAAAGAAATGTATGTCAAGGCAAAATTTTCAAAAGAAATTTATGTCAAGACAAAAACAGATTTATGTCTAAGACAAAAGTTTCTTAAGAAATGTATGTCTAAGGCAATATGTTCTAAATAAATTTATGTCAAGACAAAATTTTCTAAAGAAATGTATGTCCAGACAAAATTTTCTACAGAAATTTATGTCAAAACAAAATTTTCTAAAGAAATTTATATCCAGACAAAATTTTCTAAAAAAATTTATGTCCAGATAAAATTTTCTAAAGAAATTTTTATCAAGATAAAATATTTCTAGAGAAATTTATGTTAAGACAAATTTTTCTAAAGAAATTTATGTCCAGACAAAAACTTTCTAAAGAAATTTATGTTAAAACATATTTTTCTAAAGAAATTTTTGTTAAGACAAATTTTTCTAAAGAAATTTATGTCCAGACAAAATTTTCTAAAGAAATTTATGTCAAGACAATATTTTTCTAAAGATATTTATGTCAAGACAATGTTTACTAATGGCATTTATGTTTTAGACAAAATTTTCTAAAGAAATTTATGTCGAGACAAAAATTACTAATGAAATTTATGTCTTAGAGAAAAATTTCTAAAGAAATTTATGTCAGGACAAAATCTACTAAAGAATTTCATGTCCATACAAAATTGTCTAAAGAAATTTATGTCAAAACTAAATTTTCTTAAGAAGTTTATGTCCAAGACAAAATTTTCTAAAGAAATTTATATCAAGACAAAGTTTTCTAATGACATTTGTGTCAAGAACAAATTTTCTAAATTAATGTATGTCAAGATATAATTTTCTAAAGAAACTTTTATCAAAACAAAATTTTTTTAAAGAAATGTATTTCAAGACCGAATTTTTCTAAAAAAATTTATGTCAAGACAAAATTTGTTCAATAAATTTATGTCTAAGACAAAATTTTCGAAAGAAATTTATGCCGAAGACAAAATTTTCTGAAGAAATTTATGTCAAGACAAAATATTTCTAAAGAATTTTATGTTAAGACAAATTTTTCTTAAGAAATTTTTGTCGAAGACAAAATTTTTTTAAAGAAATTTATGTCAAAACAAAATTTTCTAAAGAAATTTATGTCAAGACAAAATATTTCTAAAGCAATTTATGTCCAGACAAAATTTTCTAAAGAAATTTATGTCCAGACAAAAATTTTCAAAAAAAAAATTATGTCAAGACAAAATTTTCTAAAAAAAATGTATGTCAAGACATATTGTACTAAATAAATTTATATATACGACAAATTGTGTTTGAGAAATTTATGTCTAGGAAAAATTAAAAAAAAAAATTATGTCAAAAACAAAATTTGCTAAAGAAATTTATGTCAAGACAAAATTTTCTAAAGAAATTTATGTCAAGACAAAATTTTCTAATGAAATTTTTGTCAAGACAAAAATTTTTTTCAGAAATTTTCTAAAGAAATTAAAGTTTAGGAAAAATATTTCTGAAAAAATGTGCCAATGTCTTAACATAGAAAAATTATGTCATGACAAAAAATTATGTCTTAACATAATTTTTTTTTATAATTCTTTTTATAATTTTTTTTATACAAATTTTTTTATAGAAATTTAGAAACACTGTAATTTTTGTCATTTAACCTAAATCGGGGTAGGGGTGTTTATGGGGTAAACGTTCAATGACATGCAAGTTCAAATATTTTTTTGTAAATTTTATCATGATTTTGGCCTGTTGTTGGCATTTTTTTCTATTAAAGGATTTCAAAAATATTATAAATATTTATTTGATTTGCAACAAAACAACAGCTAGAAAACACTAACAAAATTATGACGTTAAAGCAAATATGAATTAAACTGCAAACAAAGCGCCTTAAGGGTATGCTATACATTTTGTTAGCTGGTTAAATATGTATTTGCAAAATGACTTTTGGTTAAGTTAGAAGCAAAAAATATTTAGAAAAAAAGAACAAAAATCTGTTGTTGTGTTATTGTTGTTTTAAGGTCTTTTGTTTAAGGTTAAGTTCAGTATATTGTTGAAATTTTGTTGGGATTTTTTTTTTGTTGTTTTTATACAATTATACACCTACTTTATGGATCAAATAATTGAAATAGCTTTGTTTTGTTTGCTGTCTAGTTTAGCAAAGAAATTAAATTCAAGGTTGTGGTTATGAAAAGTTGAAAAAACCTTAAGAGCTTAAAATAAAGTAAACAAATCTATAAATCTGCTTATTAAAGAAATATTAAAAAGTTTTTTGAACTTGTTAAAGGTTTTTACTAAGTGTATGGAAAATTAAAGAAATTTTTATAAGACAACTTTTCTTATTTGTTTGTTAACAAATATTACTTTTTATGATCCCTTAAAGTATACTTTAAATATTTGTTTTTGTGTAAGCAATATAAAGTATGCTGTTGTTTTTGTGTGCAATATCTTTTCAACATTGTCAATGTGATAATTTATGGGTCTGCTGGTAAAAACTTTCTTTGTTGTCTTTTTTTGCCAAAGCCTTAGCATATTTTTTAAAATATTTTTACATAAAATTAATGTCTAACTTTAAGGCTTAACAACTACACAAAATTGTTTATTTAAAAGAAAGAAATTTTGTAAAATGTAAAACAGCAAAAGTTTCCTATTTTTATTTAAAATAGCAAAAAAGTAATAAACTAAAAAGCAACAAGAAACTCTTGCCAACATTGATTCTCTTTTTTATAATATAAAAATGCATAATATTTCCTTGTTAGAAAGTTTTTTTAGAGAAAATTTATACATAAAAATGTATTGAAAACTTTGTTGGTTATTTTGTTCTTTTATAATTTATAATTTTTCGAAAAGAAAACTACAAATAACTTCAAACTAAAGAAAAAAGTATAAACGTACGCCTAAAAGTATGCCACAGTTACAAATTACATATACAATTTCGTTATAATGGGCGTAACCTCCCACAAATTACACGTTTAACACGTTTTCTACATAAAATTCTTCTCTTCTTCTTCGTCTTCTTTTAATCAGAACTAATAAAAATGTATGTGTTTCCATTAAATCGCACTAACAAAATCAACAAAGACAAGTGTAACTAATGCGAAAAAAAGTATAAAAAAAATAAACACCCACTAACATCATGTTGTGTTTAAGTTTTATACAATGACAACAACATAAATATCATAATAATAACAAGAACAACACAACAATAATTACACAAAAAACAACTGAAATTTACACAGCTTAAATTAAAAACATTTTATTTGTGTTTGCCAACATATATTAAGTACATAAATACATATTTACTTTAAAAGCAAAAGTATACATTTAGGCGTTTCATAATAGCAATTACTAGAGTATGTTATAAAGGGTATCATAATGAAAATTAATGAGCATATTTTAAGGCGTTTCAATAAATACAAGGGGATTTGTTACAGAGAGCAATAATTTCTGGACTTGTTGCTAAAGAAATTTAAGAAAATGTTGCCTGAACTACAACTCAACTAGAACAGAACTAGATCTAGAACAGAACTAGAACTGAACTAGATCTAGAACAGAACTAGAACTGAACTAGTAAAGAATAGAACAGAACTAGAACAGAACTAGAACAGAACTAGAACAGAACTAGAACAGAACTAGAACAGAACTAGAACAGAACTAGAACAGAACTAGAACAGAACTAGAACAGAACTTGAACAGAACTAGAGCAGAACTAGAGCTGAACTAGAACAAAACTAGTACAGAACTAGAACAGAACTAGAACTAAACTACTTATAAGAGAACTAGTACCGTACTAGTACCGTACCTGAACAGAAGTTGAACTAGAACAGAACTGGAACAGAAGTTGAACTAGAACAGAACTGGAACAGAACTAGAACAGAACTAGAACAGAACTAGAACAGAACTAGAACAGAACTAGAACAGAACTAGAACAGAACAGAACTAGAACAGAACTAGAACAGAACTAGAACAGAACTAGAACAGAACTAGAACAGAACTAGAACAGAACTAGAACAGAACTAGAACAGAACTAGAACAGAACTAGAACAGAACTAGAACAGAACTAGAACAGAACTAGAACAGAACTAGAACAGAACTAGAACAGAACTAGAACAGAACTAGAACAGAACTAGAACAGAACTAGAACAGAACTAGAACAGAACTAGAACAGAACTAGAACAGAACTAGAACTAGAACAGAACTAGAACAGAACTAGAACAGAACTAGAACAGAACTAGAACGAACTAGAACTGAACTAGAACTAGAACTAGAACTAGAACAGAACTAGAACAGAACTAGAACAGAACTAGAACTGAACTAGAACTGAACTAGAACTGAACTAGAACAGAACTAGAACAGAACTAGAACAGAACTAGAACAGAACTAGAACAGAACTAGAACAGAACTAGAACAGAACTAGAACAGAACTAGAACAGAACTAGAACAGAACTAGAACAGAACTAGAACAGAACTAGAACAGAACTAGAACAGAACTAGAACAGAACTAGAACAGAACTAGAACAGAACTAGAACAGAACTAGAACAGAACTAGAACAGAACTAGAACAGAACTAGAACAGAACTAGAACAGAACTAGAACAGAACTAGAACAGAACTAGAACAGAACTAGAACAGAACTAGAACAGAACTAGAACAGAACTAGAACAGAACTAGAACAGAACTAGAACAGAACTAGAACAGAACTAGAACAGAACTAGAACAGAACTAGAACAGAACTAGAACGGAACTAGAACAGAACTAGAACTGAAATAGAACTGAACTAGAACAGAACTAGGTCTGAATTAGAACTAAACTACTTAAAACAGAACTAGAACAGTGCCTGAACAGAAGTTGAACTAGAACAGAACTAGTACAGAATTTGAACTAGAACAGAAGTTGAACTAGAACTGACATATTTATAATTAAACTTTAACTGAAGTAAATCGCTTATTTCAGTTTTAAGAAAAGTCCAAAAATTTCTCAAGTTCCCCACTTACCTCATCAATTCAAATGTAATGCATAAATGTTTCCTAAAATACATATAATCCAACATATGTATAACATTATGAGATCCATCAGCATCCTTTTCACGCAACTCATCCAAGATATTCAATTCAACAACGGCCTGATTTAAGAAACGTTTCTTATTGCGTATAATTTTAATGGCCACATGGGTATTGGTCTTATGATCCAAAGCTCTAATAACCTGACCAAAACTGCCTTTGCCGATGATTTCCAGAATTTCATAACGAAAAGCAATATGATCATGTTCAATCTGAAATGAGAGTAGAATATGTAATTAAGGAGATTTTTAAAGAAAATGGTATTTTGTTTAAATGTTTTACTTACAATTTTATAATTGCCATTTTCATCATCATAACCCGAATTGGTGGTGGATGCTGAGACCTTATTGGAATAATTCTTATTGGCATGTTGTCCAAAATACCAGATTTCCTTATACACTCTTAGCTCTTCAAATTCCATATCAGTCAAATAATTGCTGTATTTTTTAACCAGCTCTAGAAGTTTTAATAAAAATTTCATTAAATATTTAATTGTATGGTATACTTTTGGGCGGTTTAACTAGGAGAAGTAGGCTTTGCTTATTTCTATCTTTCTCTGTCTGTCACTTAATGTGGTAATAACAAGTATTTTTGTTTTTAATTTCTGTAGCGTATTTATTTTATTTGCTTTTTTGAAAGAACAAATTTTTAAAATAATAAAAATTCGCCCAATTAATACTTGACATTTTGTTTAAAAGCATTCACATTTTGTTCTCTATTTGCCAAGCACTCTCTCGGTGAAGTGCACAGCAGTGGCAGGTATTTGTTTAATGTGGAAAAATAAACCTTGACCTTAATACCCAGCTGGGAAATAGAGTTTTCATCACATTGAATTTGCTTTTTTTTGTGTGAGCAAAAGTCAACATAATTAAAACAGTTGGGATTTTTAAACGAAAAAAAGTACAGCATACTTTTAGCCACCCTCAATTAAAATAAAACTAATGCCTACTTTTAGGTCTTTAAAGAAAATTCCAAAAAATCCTTACCTGATGGCGTCATTGGTGTGATACATTTCATTTCTTCTCTGGCTGAATTGCCACTACCCGTACTAGAGTTGGACTTGGTCGATGAGCCTCTCTCACCACTTGATGAATTGCCATGCGAGGAAACGGTATTCGAGGACACTGGTGATCCTAAATTATTGTTATTATTGTTGTTATTATTAATGCTATTGCTAATATTGCCATTCGATGGACTGCGATTGTGTAGTTGTGTATTGTTGGTGGTTTGTTGTTGTTGCTGCTGCTGCTGCAGTGCTGCACCATGATGATGACCATTCGAATGATGATGATTACGTGAAGAGCCTCGTGTACTGCCCACATTGCAGAGGGAGGGTAAATCAAGGCGTGGATTTGAGAGACGGGTATCACGATCGCGACGACATTTGTCGTTGTCGATCTGAACCTAAAATGTTTAAAGTTTTGTTAATGTTTTGTTTTCATGGTTTTCTTTCTTCCCTTTTCTACTACTTACCGGCATTTCACATCGATCTAACATTTTGCTTTTGTTATATCAATTTTCTTCTATATTTCCAGCTTTAGTTTAGCTGTTTTTTAACAATTTTTTAAAAATTAATTTTTATTATTTTAAATATTTTTTTTTTATAAATTTGGTTGCTGTTTAAAAGTTACCGGAACCGCGTACATTGGTGTTGTGTTTGCTGCAAGTGCGTATTGCTAAAAGTAGAACAAAATAAAAAGAAAATATTAACATCAAAGTAAAGTTAGTTTAAAAGCTTTTCTAAAAGCTTTAAGCTTTCTCAAAAAGCTGTATTAAGCATACCAAGACCATATTTTTAAATAAAAATCTTTTCTTAAAAGTCTAGTCTTTTCGATGAAGATTTTTTCATGAAATATCTCAAAAAGCTTTAAAAGCTTTTGTGATTTTTTAAATAAAAATATTAGAAAAAGAGTTTTATTCAGAAAATTCTAATGACTTTCCACCAATTTGGAAGTTTTTCATGAAAAATCTCTAAAAGCTTTTGCTATTTTTTTATAAAAATGTTCTAAAATGTGTCTAAAACCCAAAACTCCCTTAAATTTTGAAATTCTTCATGAAAGCTCGCTAAAAGCTCTAAAAGCTTTCCAAAAATGTTATTATAAGTATGTATTTTAATTAGAATTAGAATTTTTCCCTATATTCAAATTTTGCAGCATTTTTGTGAAAGCTATCAAATTTTATCTGAAAGCTTTCAAAGCTCTTTGGACTTTTTTTATAAAAATATTAGCAAAAGTGTTCTATTTACATAAAATAACAAAACTAAATTATTCTTTATGGATTTTTGAGGGTTTTTTCATGAAAGCTCTTTAAAAGCTTTGAACATTTTAGGAAGCTTTTAAAAATTTTTTTGTAAAAAAAAATAATAAATTTTGAAGAGTAATAGATTTTTTTATTGATTGTTAAGTTTTTCATGAAACCTCTTTAAAAGCTTTGAACACTGAAGGTGAGCTTTTACAAAATCGATTTTTTTAAGTATAAAAAACTTAGGGAAATTTTGTTAATTAACAAATCTATATGATCTATAAATTTTCTGCTGGTTTTGGTGTTTTTTATGAGAGCTTTCAAAAAGCTTATAGTAAGCTTTGCTTAAAAAACTATCGATTCTTTATAGAAATTTGGGAAAATAGTGATTCTTATTAAAGCTACTGCACATTTCATCAATTTTTGCTGATTTTATAACTCTTTTGCACGAAAGCTTTGTAAGCTTTACTTTATATTTTTGTATATTTATTAGAAAATATAATAAAAGGTGTTTCAGTTAAAGTTTTTGTAAAACCTCGTGATTTTATTTTGATTCTGCTGTAAAAATTTTGAAAGCTTTTAATAAGCTTTTGTTTTATATCTTGGAATTTTTATAAAAATAGTAAGGAAATTGCTTTTAATTGAAAAAGATATGCAATCTAGATATTTTCTTTTAATTTTTGGTGATTTTTACATGAAAGCTCTGTAAAAACTTTGAAAGCTTTTAGTGAACATTTGTTTAAAAACTTGCGATTCTTTATAAAAAGGAAGATAAAAATATTTTGGTTCAATTATTTTCATAAAATAGAGCTTTTCCTTAAAGCTTTTGAAAAGCTTTTTTTAATCTTGAAAGTTTTGACGAAAATTTTCAAAAAAGCTTGGTTTGTTTAAATCTTTTACATAATCTATTGAGATCTTGTAATCCTGTTGATGTAAGGATTTTTCGTGAAAGCTTTTTTTAAAGCTTTTTTAAAGCTTTTATTGAGCTTAAGTTATTTCCTCTTTAAAATCTTAGAAATGGAATATAAAAATTAAGATAAAAGTGTTTTAATTAAATTAGTTATGTGAAATAGTGATTTTCTGTTGAAATTTGAGTGTTTTTTTCTTAAAGCTTTCTAAAAGCTTTTGTTAAATATTGGTTATTTTGACCAAATATTTAAAACAAAAGTCTTTTGTTTAAAACAGTTATATAATCCAGTGTTAGCCTGTTGATGTAAAGGTTTTATGTGAAAGCTTTTAAGAAAGCTTTTATTGAATTTATGTTATTTTCTCTTTAAAATGTGGGAAGAATGTTCTAACTAAAGAAATTAAACTTTCAAGTTATCATTTCTCTAATTTAGTTTTTTTCAGCAAAAGCTTTCTAAAAGCTTTTTTTTTAAATTTTGCAAATTTAGTAAAAAAGTTTAGGGAAAAGTGTGTTATTTAAATTAATTATTATTTGTAGTGATATTTTTATGATTTTATTGATTTTTAGATGAAAGCTTTTTAAAAGCTTTGGCAGTTTTAAGGTGTTTTGCATACAATTGTTTAATTTTAAGGCATTTTAACAGGTTTATAGACTGTTGAGGATAATTTTGCTGTTTTTGGGACAAAGCTTTAAGCTGTTGAAAAAAGCTTTCGAAAGCTTTAAGCTATATTTTGGAATTTTTGATAGTTTTCTTTATGAATTTATGATTTAAAACAGTTTTTTTGTATATTTAAGCCTTGTTTTGCATTTTTTCAATGTTAATGACTTTTTTGGTTGAACGAAAATTTCATTTCTCATGCATATTATGCTGATTTAATAGAAAAAACTTGTTTGTCATTAAACCAGCTTGACATTCATGTCAAAAACAAAAGTGAAAATATGTTTATTTATTAATTAATTAATAAAATGGCATATTAAAAGCTGTAATATGTAATTTACACTTGTGGTCTTTACTGCTAAACGTTTGAGCTTAGCAGTGTGTGGTTTTTCAGCAGAAAAACTGGTAATAAGTGAGAAAATAATTTATGTGCTTAAAAGGAAATTAGCAAAATTACCCTCGTAGTGGTAATAACTAAGTTGCACAGTTTTTGAGTTATATAATTTGTTAAAGTTTTCATCATCCTTCTTTTTGACAATTAAGTTTTAGCAGCAGTTTGTTTTGGCAAAGGTCGTAATAATAAACGGAAACTTTCGCTTTTGCAAAATTTGTTAGTAAAAAAACTGTCAAAATGTTTGAAAAAATTATGACTGCTATTTAGGATGGTTTAAGGCTTAAAGGCGGCTTGGAAGCAATCGCTGTTACACACAGATTTCCTTAATAGTTTCTTTGGCTTGTATTAGTACTTGTTATAAACCTGCTAATAATTTAACGTCAAATGTCAAAAGTTTTCATTTCAACACACCAAACACAAAATACTTTTAAATAATAATGAACAAACCAGCGAACGAACAAATCCTCAAAATCAACCATGACTTTAAGTAACGTTTTTCTGAATGAGCTTTTACTAATCAGTGTCAGGTAGGCAGATGGACGGACGGACAGACAGACAGCCAAACCATCAAAGTAACAAAGTAAATATATATTTGAATTTTCAATTGTGCTTAACAACAAACTGTCAAAAAACAACAAAATTTAGTTTATTATTTTCTGTTTTATGGAAAACCACTTGTATATTTTACTATTTTTAGCGTCACGTATTCAAACGTCGTCTGTCTGTCTATTACTGTCTACTTTGGTTTAACTTTTGGATTTGGTGGTTTGTTTATATTTTAGTTTTCAAAGGAAAAAAAGTAAATAGAAATACCAAACTATGAAAAAAAGTAAAATTTATAGGAAAAACGCTCCCCTTTTTTACTTTTATACAGAAAAAAAGACACAAAAAAAACAGCAGTTTGTTGTCTAAACTAATTTAGCTGTTGAAATTTTTGTTTACCAAAACCATTTGTGGCAACTTAAAATTCTATAGTAATACTTTAAATTATGAGGGTTATTAAATGTAAATGTAGACTTAGACCCATAAATTAGGATTTTTATTTAAGTAAAGAAAATGAAATGAAAAAAAGGACAATCGATAAAAGGGTTAAATAAATAAAACTAAATTATAATTCAAAAGCTTAAACTAAAAGCTCTAAATAAAATATGAACTAGAACTGAACTAGAACAGAACTAGAACAAAACTAGAACAGAACTAGAACAGTACTAGAACAGTACTAGAACAGAACTAGAACAGAACTAGAACAGAACTAGAACAGAACTAGAACAGAACTAGAATAGAACTAGAACAGAACTAGAACAGAACTAGAATAGAACTAGAACAGAACTAGAACAGAACTAGAACTAGAACAGAACTAGAACAGAACTAGAACAGAACTAGAACAGAACTAGAGCAGAACTAGAACAGAACTAGAACAGAACTAGAACAGAACTAGAACAGAACTAGAACAGAACAGAACTAGAACAGAACTAGAACAGAACTAGAACAGAACTAGAACAGAACTAGAACAGAACTAGAACAGAACTAGAACAGAACTAGAACAGAACTAGTACAGAACTAGAGCAGAACTAGAACAGAACTAGAACAGAACTAGAACAGAACTAGAACAGAACTAGAACAGAACTAGATCAGAACTAGAACAGAACTAGAACAGAACTAGAACAGAACTAGAACAGAACTAGAACAGAACTAGAACAGAACTAGAACAGAACTAGAACAGAACTAGAACAGAACTAGAACAGAACTAGAACAGAACTAGAACAGAACTAGAACAAACTAGAACAGAACTAGAACAGAACTAGAACAGAACTAGAACAGAACTAGAACAGAACTAGAACAGAACTAGAACAGAACTAGAACAGAACTAGAACAGAACTAGAACAGAACTAGAACAGAACTAGAACAGAACTAGAACAGAACTAGAACAGAACTAGAACAGAACTAGAACAGAACTTAGAACCGAACTAGAACAGAACTAGAACTAGAATAGAACTAGAACAGAACTAGAACTAGAACTAGAACAGAACTAGAACAGAACTAGACATGAACTAGAAACAGAACTAGAACAGAACTAGAACAGAACTAGAACAGAACTAGAACAGAACTAGAACAGGAACTAGAACAGAACTAGAACAGAACTAGAACAGAACTAGAACAGAACTAGAACAGAACTAGAACAGAACTAGAACAGAACTAGACAGAACTAGAACAGAACTAGAACAGAACTGAACAGAACTAGAACAGAACTAGAACAGAACTAGAACAGAACTAGAACAGAACTAGAACAGAACTAGAACAGAACTAGAACAGAACTAGAACTAGAACTAGAACTAGAACTAGAACTGAACTAGAACTAGAACTAGAACTGAACTAGAACAGAACTAGAACTGAACTAGAACAGAACTAGAACAGAAACTAGAACAGAACTAGAACAGAACTAGAACAGAACTAGAACTGAACTAGAACTGAACTAGA